TATACATATATTTACACATAAACACACATATGTATATGTAGTAAATATATATATATGGATATATATATAGATAGATATATATCCATATATAAGTTTATATACATATATATGTATATATATATCTGTAAATATAAATGTACACGCACCAACAGACACAGACACACATTTACATACATACATATATGCATACATATATATATATATATATATATATATATATATATATATATATATATTTACATATATATACATACATATATATATATACAGTATATACATACAAACACACACATATATGTATGTATGTATGTTTATATATGTATTCATATATAAATATATATACATATATATATATATATATTATATATATATATATATATATATATATATATATATATATATATATAAAAATTTATATGTACACGCACAAACAGACCCACACATACACATAATATGTATTCATATACATATTTATATGTGGGATATATTTATGTATATATATATATATACAGTATATATATATAAATATATATATATATATATATATATATATATACATATATATATAAATATATATATATATATATACATATATACATATATATATATATATACATATATACATATACATATATATATATATATATATATATACATATATTCATACACACATAATATGTATTCAATGACATATTTATATGTGGGATATATAGATATGTATGTATATATTTATATGTATATACAAATAAATATACATATATATAGACACATATATATGGATATTTATATATATGTATGTATATATATGGATATTTATATATATGTATGTATATATATGTATATATATATACATATATACATATATATTTACATATATAAATAATATATATATATATAAATATATATATACATATACATATATTTATATGTAGGATATATATGTGTATATATAGATATATATATATATATATATATATGTATATATATATATATATATAAATGCATAAATGAATATATCCATATGTAAATTTATATATAAATATATATATATATATATATATATATATATATATATATATGCATATATATAAATATGTATGCACAAACACACAGACACACACACATACACACACAAACACATATATATGTATATATATAATATAAATATGTATATAATATATATGTATGTGATATATATATTATATATACATAATATATCAAATTTATTTCATATATATACATATACATATACATATTTATATGTGAGGGATATATATACATACACATAGAAACACACACACACACACACACACACATATACATTTAGATAGATTGATTCATATTCATGTATGTGTTTGTGGTGTGTGTGTGTAGCAGTATATAAATATTATTATATATGTAGACAGAGAGATAGGTAGATATTCATGTGTGTTTGAGTGAGTGAGCGTGTTTGTTTACCTAAGCGTGTTCTTTTCCTGCGCGTCTGGCTGTAAGTCTGAATGAATTTCATGACATCAGTGAACGTCCCATGAATGACCTCTCTGAAGTGTTGCTCTCTTATGCTTACTTTTGAAATTTCTTATGCTTACCTTTGAAGAACTGTGCGCGGGCGTGAGGGGAGAGGGCGGCGAGGGCGGCCCGTAGTCCTCCTGCGTCGCCGGCGTCGACCAGAGCGACCTGAAAGGGAAGGCGACGCGGTCTTCATCGGCAGCGGACTTCGGGGCACCAGACACGCGTGCTCTCATGGCACAGCAGCTGAGGATGCCAGGGCAGCACAGGAAGGGAGGAACCACTTGGATCATGCGGATGGTAGTGGTGGTGAAGGGGAGGAGGGTGGTGGTGATGGGGAGGAGGGTGGTGGTGAAGGGGAGGAGGGTGGTGGTGATGGGGAGGAGGGTGGTGGTGATGGGGAGGGTGGTGGTGATGGGGAGGAGGGTGGTGGTGATGGGGAGGAGGGTGGTGGTGATGGGGAGGAGGGTGGTGGTGATTGGGAGGGGGGAGGGGATGGGGAGGAAGATGGCGATTCACTCGGACTAACTCCTCTCGCTCTGCCTCTCAGTCTCCTCTGTCTGTCATTACACCACTGCCCCATCCACTACACCACTGTCCCATCCACTACACCACTGTCCCATCCACTACACCACTGTCCCATCCACTACACCACTGCCCATCCACTACACCACTGTCCCATCCACTACACTACTGTCCCATCCACTACACTACTGTCCCATCCACTACACCACTGCCCCATCCGCAACACCACTGCCCCATCCACAACACCACTGCCCATCCACTACACCACTGCCCATCCACTACACCACTGCCCATCCACTACACCACTGCCCATCCACTACACCACTGCCCCATCCACTACACCACTACCCCATCCACTACACCACTGCCCCATCCACTACACCACTGTCCCATCCACTACATCACTGTCCCATCCACTACACCACTGCCCCATCCACATCACTGTCCCATCCACTACCCCATCCAC